CCCAATGGCTTCCCAATGGTGTCCCCACAATGTCCCCATGCCTTCCTTGTGTCCCATTGCCCCCATCCCCACATCCCAATGGTGTCCCTATGACATCCGCCCTACCCATATGTCCCCACGGTGTCCATATCATGTCCCCATGCCCTCCTCGTGTCCCATTGCCCCCATCCCCACGTCCCAATGGTGTCCCCATGATGTCCCCATGCCCTCCTTGTGTCCCATTGCCCCCATCCCCATCTCCCAGTGGTGTCCCCACGATGTCCCCATGCCCTCCTCGTGTCCCGTTGCCCCCATCCCCACATCCCAATGGTGTCCCTATGACATCCCCCCTACCCATATGTCCCCACAGTGTCCCCACGATGTCTCCACGCCCTCCTCGTGTCCCATTGCCCCCATCCCCACATCCCAGTGGTGTCCCCATGATGTCCCCATGCCCTCCTCGTGTCCCATTGCCCCCATCCCCACGTCCCAATGGCGTCCCCATGGCGTCCCCATGGCGTCCCCATGCCCTCCTCGTGTCCCATTGCCCCCATCCCCACGTACCGACGGCTTCCCAGCGCCGTCCCCATGACATCCCCGCGATGTCCCTGTACCCACGTCCCCACAACGTCCCCACAACGTCCCCACGTCCGTCCCCCAGCGCCACGGATGACTTCAACCACGGCGTGGTGCTGAGCGCGCGGGCGCTGCGGGACAACGAGCTGTTCCAGGTGCGAATCGACAAGATGGTGGACAAGTGGGCGGGCTCCATCGAGATCGGGGTCACCACCCACAGCCCTGCACACCTCCAGCTGCCCTCCACCATGACCAACCTGCGCTCCGGTGCGTCCCAACGTCTCCGTGGGGGTCCCCAATGTCCTTACGGGGTCTTTTCGGCGTCCCCGTTGGGTCAACCACATCTTGATGGTGCCTTATGGTGACCATGTGGGGTCCCCCCAGGTCCATAGGGTGTTTCCGAGGGGTCCCCGAGGTCTTTCATGTGTCCCCAAGGGGTCCTCATGGGGTCCCCAACAGCCCGATGGTGTCCATGTGAGGTGTCCATTGAACGTCCCACCTCCTTATGGTGTCCTTGTTGGGTCTCCAATGTCCTCATGGTGTCCCTGCTGGGACTCCCAGTGTCCTTTTGGTGTCCCCATGGGGTCCCTAAGTGGCCTCTGGTGTCCCTGTGGGTTTCCAATGTCCCTGTTGTGTCCTTATGGTCTTCCATGTCCTTATGAGGTCCCCACGGGATCCTTGTGTCCCCAACGTCCCTATGGTGTCCCCATTGGGTCTGCTATGTCCCTGTGGCGTTCCCATTGGGTGTCCCCTGTCCTTATTGTGTCCCTGTTGGGTCTCCAGTGTCCTTATGGTGTCCCCATGGGGCCTCCCAGATCCATAGGATGTCACCAGGGAGCGTCCACTGACCCCATGGAGACCCCAACTGTGCTGTGGTGTCTTTATGGTGTCCCTGTTGGGACCCCCAGTGTCTTTATGGTGTCCCCATGGGGGTCCCCAAGTGACCCCTGGTGTCCCTGTTGGGACAGGGTCTCCAATGTCCCTGTGACGTCTTTATGGTGTCCCTGTTGGGTCTTCCACGTCCTTATGAGGTCCCCAAGGGATCCCTATGGTGTCCCCATTGGGTCTGCCATGTCCCTTTGACGTCCCCATGGGGTGTCCCCTGTCCTTATGATGTCCCTGTTGGGTCTCCAGTGTCCTTACGGTGTCCCCAAGGGACCTCCCAGATCCTTAGGATGTTCCCAGGGGGTCTCCAGTGACCCCATAGAGACCCCAACTGTGCTGTGGTGTCCCTGTTGGGTCTCCCGGTGTCCTTCTGGGGTCCCCATGGGGTCCCCAAGTGGCCTCCGGTGTCCCTGTAGGGTCTCCAGTGTCCCTATTGCGTCCTTATGGTGTCCTCATTGAGTCTTCCACGTCCTTATGAAGTCCCCAACATCCCTATGGTGTCCCCATTGGGTCTGCCATGTCCCTTTGACGTCCCCATGGGGTGTCCCCTGTCCCCATGATGTCCCTGTTGGGTCTCCTGGTGTCCTCATGGTGTCTCCATGGGGCCCCCAAGTGGCCTCCGGTGTCCCTGTGGGGTCTCCAATGTCCCTATTGCGTCCTTATGGTGTCTTCATTGAGTCTTCCATGTCCTTATGAGGTCCCCAAGGGATTTCTATGGTGTCCCCATTGGGTCTGCCATGTTCCTATGGTGTCCCCATTGGGTGTCCCCTGTCCTCATGATGTTCCTGTTGGGTCTCCCAGTGTCCTTCTGGTGTCCCCATGGGGTCCCCAAGTGGCCTCCGGTGTCCCTGTGGGGTCTCCAGTGTCCCTATTGCGTCCTTATGGTGTCCTCATTGGGTCTTCCATGTCCTTATGAAGTCCCCAAGGGATCCCTATGGTGTCTCCATTGGGTCTGCCATGTTCCTATGGTGTCCCCATTGGGTGTCCCCTGTCCTTATGATGTCCCTGTTGGGTCTCCAGTGTCCTTATGGTGTCCCCATGAGACCTCCCAGATCCTTAGGATGTTCCCAGGAGGTCTCCAGTGACCCCATAGAGACCCCCAGCTGTGCTGTGGTGTCCCTGTTGGGTCTCCCGGTGTCCTTCTGGTGTCCCCATGGGGTCCCCAAGTGGCCTCCGGTGTCCCTGTGGGGTCTCCAGTGTCCCTATTGCATCCTTATGGTGTCCTCATTGAGTCTTCCATGTCTTTATGAGGTCCCCAAGGGATTCCTGTGTCCCCAACATCCCTATGGTGTCCCCATTGGGTCTGCCATGTCCCTTTGACGTCCCCATGGGGTGTCCCCTGTCCTCATGATGTCCCTGTTGGGTCTCCCAGTGTCCTTATAGTGTCCCCATGGGGTCCCCAAGTGGCCTCCAGTGTCCCTGTGGGGTCTCCAGTGTCCCTATTGCGTCCTTATGGTGTCCTCATTGAGTCTTCCATGTCCTTATGAGGTCCCCAACATCCCTATGGTGTCCCCATTGGGTCTGCCATGTCCCTGTGGCGTCCCCATGGGGTGTCCCCTGTCCTTATGATGTCCCCGTTGGGTCCCCAGTACCCTTACGATGTCCCCAAAGTCCCTGAGACGTCCCCATGACGTCCCTGCTGTCCTTACGATGTATCCGCCGGGTCCCCAACACCCTTATGGCATCTGACGGCGTCCCCGATGTCCCCAACGCCTCCCTGATGTCCCCCTGCTGTCCCCAGGCACGTGGATGATGACAGGCAATGGGGTGATGCACAACGGGACCACCGTCCTCGATGAGTACGGCCACAACCTGGACCGGCTGAAGGTGGGACCCCCCTGGTGGCATCTCACGGGGGTGACAGCGTGTGACACTGTGGGTGGTGGCATCCCTTGGGGGGTGGGGGTGTTGGGGAAGTGACATCTCAGGGTGGTGATGTTTGAGGTGGTGACACCTGGGGAGGTGACGTCCCAAAGGGTGACGCTTGGGGAGGTGACACTTGGGGAAGTGACCTCAAATAGGAGGGATGCTTGGTGGGGTGACATCCCATGGGAATGGCGTTTGGGGAGGTGACATCTCATGAGGGTGACACTTGGGGAGATGGCCCTTGGGGAGGTGACATCCCACAGTGGTGACACTTGGGGAGGTGACATCCCACGGGAATGAATCTTGGGGTGGTGACACCTGAGGAGATGACGTCCCACAGTGGTGACACTTAGGGAGGTGACATCTCATGAGGGTGACACTTGGGAAGGTGACACCTGGGGAGGTGACATCCCACAGTGGTGACACTTGGGGAGGTGACTTGTAGTGGGAATGACACTTGGGGAGATGATGTCCCACAGCGCTGACACTTAGGGAGGTGACACCAGGGGAGGTGACATCCCACAGAAGTGACATTTGAGGGGGTGACATCCCATGGGAATGACACTTGGGGAGGTGATGTCCCACGAGGGTGACACCTGGGGAGGTGACATCCCACAGGGGTGACTCTTGGGGAGATGATGTCACCTCCACTTGGGGAGGTGACATCCCACAGGAGTGACATTTGAGGAGGTGACATCCCATGGGAACAACACTTGGGGAGGTGACAAATGGGGAGGTGATGTCCTACAAGGGTGACACCTGGGAGAGGTGACATCCCATGGGAATCACACTTAGGGAGGTGACACTTGGGGAAGTGACCTCCCACAGGGGTACGCTTGGGGAGGTGACACTTGAGGAGGTGGTGTCCCATGGGAATGACATTTGGGGAGGTGACACTTGGGAAGGTAACGTCCCACAGGGGTGACACTTGGGGAGGTGACATCCCACAGGAATGACACTTGGGGAGGTGACACTTGGGGAGATGATGTCTCCCAGGGGTGGCACTTGGGGAGGTGACACCTGGGGAGGTGACATCCCATGGGAATGATGCTTGGGGAGGTGACAGTTGGGGAGGTGATGTCCTACGAGGGTGACACTTGGGAAGGTAACGTCCCACAGGGGTGACACCAGGGGAGGTGACATCCCATGGGAATGACACTTGGGGAGGTGACACTTGGGGAGATGATGTCTCCTAGGGGTGACACTTGGGGAGGTGACATCCCACAGGAATGACGCTTGGGAAGGTGACACTTGGGGAGGTGACATCCCATGGGAATGATGCTTTGGGGGGGGTGACGTCTGGGGAGGTGACACTTGGGGAGATGATGTCTCCCAGGGGTGACACTTGGGAAGGTGACACTTGGGGAGGTGACATCCCATGGGACTGACAGCTGGGGAGGTGACACTTGGGAAGGTGATGTCCCATGAGGATGACACCTGGGGAGGTGGCACTTGTGGAGGTGGTCCTGGTGGGAGTTGCCCTGTGGGGACGTGCCATCTCATGGAGGGGTGACTCACGGAGGGGTGGCCCGTGCAGGGTGACACGGTGTTGTCCCCAGGCAGGTGACACGGTGGGGGTGGTGCGGCGGGACGATGGCACCCTGCACTTCTTTGTCAACGGCGCTGCACAGGGCCCTGCAGCCTGGAATGTGCCCCCAAACGTCTACGCTGTCGTCGACCTCTATGGGCAGGCAGCTCAGGCCACCATCGTGGAGGACGGTGGTGAGGGATGGGGACACGGGGGGACATCGGGGGACATCGGGGGAGGTGGGTTAGTGGGATGTGGGGATGTGAAGATGAGGGCGTGGGGTGTCCAAAACCGTGGGGGTTTGGGGACCTCAGAACGAAGGGTGTGGGGACATGAGGATGAGGATTTGGGGGCAGTGGGGCATGGGGGTGAAAGTTTGGGGACACTGGGATGAAAATCTGGGGTCATGGGGATATCAGGGTGAGGGTTTGGAGAGCCTGGATTGAGGTTTTGGGGGGGCTTGAGGACATTGGGGCGAGGATTTGGGGACGTGGGAACATTGGAGTGGGACGTCAAATCAAGAGCATGAGGACCTGAGGATGAGGATTTGGGGCCGTGGGGTATTGGGATGAAGGTTTGGGGACATGAGAGTGAGGAATTGGGGCCGTTGGATCAAGGTTTTGGGGTTGTGGGAACACAAAGATGAGGATTTGGGGACATTGGGGTGAGAGTTCGGGGGAGGTGGGGACATCAGGGTGAGGTTCTGGGGACATAGGGGTGGGGGGTATGGGGACCTCAGAGCAAGGATATGGGGACATGAGGATTTGGAGGCAGTGGGGCATTGGGGTGAAGGTTTGGGGACACTGGGGTGAAAATTTGGGGTCTTGGGGATATTAGGGTGAGGATTTGGGGAGCCTGGCTCAAGTTTTAGGGGGTGGGGGAGGCATGAGGACATTGGAGCGAGGGTTTGGGGACGTGGGAACATTGGGGTGGGGGTTTGGGGACGTCAAATCAAGAGCATGGGGACCTGAGGATGAGGATTTGGGGGCAGTGGGGTATTGGGGTGAGGGTTTGGGGACATTGGGGGAGGGTTTGGGGGGCATGGGAATGGGAAATGGGGACATTGGGGTGAGGATTTGGGGGAATGGGGAGATTGAGAGGAAGGTTTTGTGGATTTGGGGACATCAGGGTGAGGGTTTGGGGGGCATGGGGATGGGAAATGGGGACATTGGGATGTAGGGGTGGGGGCTTGGGGACATGGGGACATTGGGGTGAGGATTTGGGGCATTGGATCAAGGTTTTGGTGGGCATGGCAGCACAAAGATGAGGATTTGGGGACATGGAGGTGGGGGGTTGGTGCGTGTCAGACATTGGGGTGAAGGATTTGGGGGCGTTGGATCGAGGTTTTGGTGGGCAGCACGAAGATGAGGATTTGGGGACATCGAGGTGGGAGGTGGGGGGGGGACATTGGATGAGGATTTGGGGACGTTGGATCAAGATTTTAGGGGACGTGGGGCCAAAATAGGCGAGGCTTTGGGAACATTGGGATGGCGGTTTGGGGACAGTGGATCGAGATTTTGGGGAACGTGGGGACATGATGAGGACGTGGGGACGTAATGGGGGGCCCTGACCCCGTCCCCCCTCCCCAGAGCTGCCACCAGAGCTGTCCCCAGGGGGGTCTCCTCTGTCCCCTCCGGTGCCATCCCCCGGGGGGGGCTCGGAGCTGCGTTTCCATCGACGCCACGGGGCCAACGCTCTGCTGACCAACGGTGGCCGCACGGCGCTGCGCCAGAACTGCCGCGCCGAGTTCAACGACGCCATCGTGGTCTCCAACAGGTCGGTACCCCATAATCCGGGGCTAAAAAACCCCTAATCTGGGTCTGGGAGCCCGTAATCTGAGCCTATGTACCATCATCTTAATGTAAAAACCCCTAATCTGGGGGTGGCACCCTGTAATCTGAGCCTGTATACCATCATCTTAATGTAAAATCCCGTTATCTGGGGCTGGGACCTCATAATCTGAGCCTACATAGGATTATTTTAGTGTAAATACCCATAATCTGGGTCTGGGAGCCTGTAATCTGAGCCTATGTACCATCATCTTAATGTAAAACCCCGTTATCTGGGGCTGGGACCTCATAATCTGAGCCTACATAGGATTATCTTAGTGTAAATACCCATAATCTGGGTCTGGGAGCCTGTAATCTGAGCCTAGGTACCATCATCTTAATGTAAACCCCGTTATCTGGGGGTGGGACCCTATAATCTGATCTTACATAGAATTATCTTAGTGTAAATACCCATAATCTGGGTCTGGGAGCCCGTAATCTGAGCCTACATGCCATCATCTTAATGTAAAACCCTGTAATCTGAGGCTAAATCCCAGTAATCTGGTCCTAGGACCCCATAATCTGAGGCTAAATACCACCATTTTAATATGAATGCCTGTAATCTGCGGCTAAAACCCCCTAATCAGGGGCTGGGACCCTGTAATCTGAACCTATATACTCTCATCTTAATGTAAAATCCCCCAATCTGGGGCTAAAATCCCCTAATCTATGTCTGGGACCCCATAACATGAGCCTATGTACCATCATCTTAATGTAAAAACCCCTAATCTGGGGCTAAATTCCGGTAATCTGGTCCTAGGGCTCCATAATCTGAGGATAAATATCATCATCTTAACGTAAAACCCCCTAATCTGGGGCTGGCACCCCGTAATCTGAACCTACATACCATCATCTTAATGTAAAACCCCCTAATCTGGGGCTAAATCTCCATAATCTGATCCTAGGAGCCCATAATCTGAGCCAACATGCCATTATCTTAATGTAAATGCCTGTAACCGGGCTAAAACTGAATAATCTGATCCTAGGACCCCATAATCTGAGGCTAAATGCCATCATTTAACGTGAATGCCCATAATGTGGGGCTAAAATCCCCTAATCTGGATCTGAGACCCTGTAACATGAGTCTATGTAGAATTATCTTAATGTAAATGCCCATAATCTGAGGCTAAAATCCCCTAATCTGGGCTAGGAGCCTGTAATCTGGTCCTAGAACCCCATAATCTGAGGCTAAATATCATAATTTTAGTGTAAATGCCCGTAATCTGAGGCTAAAACCCCCTAATCTGGGACTGGGACCCCATAATCTGAGCCTAAATACCATCACCTTAATGGAAATGCCTGTAGTCAGGGGCTAAACCTCCAATCTGGAGCTAAAGCCCCCTAATCTGATCCTAGGACCCCATAATCTGAGCCTAAAGGTCATCATTTTAATGTAGACGCCTCTCATGCGGGGCTAAAACTCCTTAATCTGGGTTTTAAAACCCTAAGATAGGTCTAAAAACCCATATTGTCTGCCTAAATACCATCATCTTAACGTAAATGCCCGTAATCTGGGTCTAAAACTCCATAACCTGGGTTTTATAGCCCCTAATCTGGAGCTAAAAACCCCTAATCTGGGGCTAACCCCCCCCAATCTGTGCCTAAATACCATCATTTTAATGTAGATGCTCACAATATGAGTCTGAAACCCCCTAATCTGGAGCTAAAACCCCATATTCTGAGGCTGAGAACCCATAATCTGAGCCTATATTACCAAATTATTAATGTGAATGTCTGTAATCTGGATCTAAAACCCCATAATCTGATTCTGAGACCCCATAATCTAACCCTAAATGCCGTAATCTCAACCTAAAGCCTTTTAATTGGATTTTAAAATCATATAAACTGATCCTAAAATTTCATAATTTGACCCTAAACTCTGTAATTTGAGCCTAAGTGCTCATAATCTGACCCTGGGACCTTGTAACATGAACCTGGAGCCCGAAATCTGACCCTAAAACCATGTGAGCCTAAAAACCTGTAGTCTGAATATAAATGCCCGTAATCTGATCCCGAAATCCCGTAATCTGAATGTAAATATCTGTAATCTGTTCCTAGAGACCATAATCTGGCCTTGGCTGTCCATAATATGACCCTTAGTGCCCATAATCTGAACCTAAACTCCATAATGTGACTATGGGACTCCCATAATTTGCATTTAAACCTTGTAATCTGTCCCTAAATGCAGTAATCTGACCCTAAAACCCCATAATTTGATTTTAAATGTCCATAATTTGATTCTATGAATTTGTAACGTGATCCCAAACCCTGTAATTTGAAGCTAAATGCTTGTAATCTGATCCTAAGGGCAATATACGACTCTGGGATCATGTAATATGAACATCAGATTTGTAATCTGATCCTAAATCTTTTATCATTCGACCCCAAGTGTCGATAATCTGCCCCCAGGGCCTTGTAATCTTAATCTAAAGTCAGTAATCTGACGCTAAATGTCCATAGTCTGACCATAAATGTCCATAATCTGATCCGATGTCCTCATAATCTAACAATATGTCGCCATAATGTGATACTTTGTCCCCATAATCTGATACTAAATCCTCATAATCTGACACTAAACTCCCGTAGTCTGAGATTAAATCCCCATAATCTGACGCTAAATCCCCATAATCAGGCACTAAACCCTCATAATCTGATACAAACCTCCATAATCTGATGCTAAACCCCCATAGTCTGAGACAAATCTCCATAATCTGAGACTAAACCCCCATAATCTCGTATTAAATCCCCATAATATGACATTAAACTCTCGTTGTCTGACACTAAACCCCCATAATCTGATACTAAACCCCCATAATCTGATACTAAACCCCCATAATCTGATACTAAAACTCCATAATCTGATACTAAATCTCTATAGTCTGAGACAAGTCTCCATAATCTGAGACTAAGACCCCATAATCTCATATTAAACGCCCATAATATGACATAAAATTCCTGTAGTCTGACACTAAACCCCCATAATCTGATACTAAACCCCCATAATCTGACACTCAAACTCTATAGTCTGAGACAAGCCACCATAATCTGAGATTAAACCCCCATAATCTCATATTAAACCCCCATAATATGACATAAAATTCCCGTAGACTGACACTAAACCCCCATAATCTGACACTAAACCTCTATATTTTGAGACAAGGCTCCATAATCTGAGACTAACACTCCATAATCTCATATTAAACGCCCATAATATGACATAAAATTCCTGTAGTCTGACACTAAACCCCCATAATCTGATACTAAAACACCATAATCTGACACTAAATCTCCATAATCTGATCCAAGTCCCCATAATCTGACGCTAAACCCCCATAATCTCGTATTACATCCCCATAATATGACATTAAACTCCCGTAGTCTGACACTAAACCCCCATAATCTGATACCAAAACCCCATAATCTGACACTAAACCTTTATAGTCTGAGAGAAACCCCCATAATCTGACGCTAAGCCCCATAATCTGACACTAAACCCCCATAATCTGATCCAAATCCCCATAATCTGACGCTAAACCCCTATAGTCTGAGACAAGCCTCCATAATCTGAGACTAAGACCCCATAATCTCATATTAAACGCCTATAATATGACATAAAATTCCCGTGGTCTGACACTAAACCCCCATAATCTGATACTAAAACCCCATAATCTGACACTAAACCTTTATAGTCTGAGACAAGCCTCCATAATCTGAGACTAAACCCCCATAATGTGACACTAAACCCCCATAATCTGATACTAAAACCCCATAATCTGACATTAAGCCTTTATAGTCTGAGAGAAACCCCCATAATCTGAGACTAAACCCCCATAATCTGACACAAACTCCTGCATAATCTGCCCTGATGGCTTCCAATGTGCTCCTGGGACCCAAAAATGTGTCGTCCCCCCCCCACCCAGGGCACTGCGGGACGGGGAACTCTTTGAGATCGTCATCCAGAAGATGGTGGATCGCTGGTCAGGGTCCATCGAGGCAGGTGAGTTGGGGGGACGGGGAGGGGGGACACCTGGGGGGGCATTGGGGAGATAACAGGAGGCACCCTGGGGGGACGTATGGGGGGTGACAGTTGGGGACCGAGTGGGTCATATGGGGTGGACGTGGGGTGAGGGCACACGGGGG